TGCAATTTTGATGTGGGAAGTCTTATGATAGCTTGAAAATCAATGCTCAATCATAATTATGAAATTTAAAATTTCAAATGCAGATTGAGAAGATTATAAACACTTGAAATCTTGAAAATAGACAATCCATATAACTTGTTACAAGAAGCACTACTTTTAAGACTTACAATTATTTTTTCTTTATATCACATACATCTCGAGGTCGAGATGATCAAATGGAACGTTTTTCAACTTTGGAACACTCTTTTCTATGGGATTTTTGAGGTGCACCTTACCTTCTATAAAAAAAAATTATAAAATTATTATAAAATAATTTTTTTTATAATGAAAATATTATAATTACTTTTAGCTGTTGGATGTAAAATTGAGCAATTAAGAGTATATATCATACTTTTTACAAAAATTAAAATAAAAGAAATATTTAATGGAAAAATATCATTGGGTTGAAACCCTTTACAAATTCATTAATAAAGGGATTTAATGGTCCCAATTAACATTTGAGTGGGTTAGTTTTTTCATTTAAATAATTTTAAAAGACCCTTGAATTGCCCTTGATCTGTATTGAGAAGGAATAACAATAAGGGGCATTGAAATGATTTGATACCCCAAGACAACTGAATAATGAAAATGCACATGCGTTACAAATAAGTAAAACAGTATTTACGATTACTAAAGATGGAAAACTAAGCATTTTTATCATTTGACATACAAACGCCATATATGTATCAAATACAAAGTTAGCCGTAGTTGTTCCCCTTGGCATACCAAATTATTAAAATGCTATTTATTGTTCCTCCTTCCGAATAAAGTACTTTGATATTTTTTTTTATTTTTTGATGAGGAATCTAAGTGAAAAAAAAAATTTACTTTGAATAATTGTTTGAATAATTTTGCAAGGGGTTTTCGGGCCTTGAATGATATTTTCCCTTTTAAACTTTGTGACACACCTGAAGCAATTTCGCTTCCAATATTTAAGGATAATTGCAACCTCATTTTCCACAAATCTCTTGTATTTAAGCATGAAGTTTCTATAAAGCCTATGCTTTATGAAAACAAAATAAAACCTTACCTCAAATCCTCACCTAGAAAACAATTTCGACGACGAAAATCGTCAGGATGGCTTTAAAATTAATTTTCAACACTGACAGTAAAAGTTAATACTAAAAAAGGTACAGATCGTGCAGATCTATTAACACTTTTTTTTTAAGACAAAATAGACGGTCAAGTTATAATATACTAACAACTATAATGTTCAAGCCGAGATGGTTGATGTAAAGGTTTTCTGACACTTGAATTATAATTTTTGATGAGTTATGAGGTGAGGCGTTACTTATTATGATGGGGCTACTGTCCTATCAAACTATTTTCCTTTAATTAGAGAGGAAGATCACAAAAAACAAAAAAAACAAAAAAAAGGTAACATTTTGAAGAAAATTTTTCGTATCCTTATTTGCTAAGAACAAAATTTCCCTATATTTGCTCCGGACTACCCTGTCCCTTTATATCGAGCTAACCTGTCCCTTTTATTTGGTGTAATGGACAAAAGTTCTGAGAGAATTTTTCGTATCCTTCCATTTTATTACATGAGACATGCAAATATAATCCCTGCCCTTTATTTTTTTGGGTGAGGTGTGTATAACGCGCCAATCTTATACTATACTAAGACGCACCTTGAAATTGTTCGGAAGAAATAGTTCGGATGTGTGAAATATCATGATGATCTAAAAAGTTATGTTCCACTTTAATTATGAAATTTAAAATTTTAAAAAGTGTAAATGAATCATATCTATAAATACTAAAAAAAAATCTTGAAAATAATGGTCTTGATAATTTATTACAAAATACACTATTTTTAAGGTTTGCGATTTTTTTTCCTTGTGTCCACACTTGTGGTTGAAAAAATCAACTAGAAGGTTTTCCAACTTGGGAACATTTTTTTCTATTAGATTTTTGAGCTGCACCTTACTTCTTATATTTTGCCAAAAGATTTCATGCTCTTGAGGGATCGTACTGTCCATTACGTCCTCAGACAAATATAGTGTAGGGCATTCTTACGACTCAAAATTTTTGGAGATATAATAAATTTTTTTGAGAAAATATCTCCATACCCCATATTTTTAAGTTTCATTTCATTATAGACCCAATGTTTTAAAAGATATCTTGGAGAATTACAATTGTAAAATTTATTTCGTTTAAAATTTATATCCTCTAACCTCTGAGTTAATTTAAACTTGTTTTTTTAAGCCAAACAAATCTAAAAAGACATGTATTTTCTAAAAGCCATCCTCACAAATTTTTAGATAGAGAGAATGGTTTCATGGAGGTGAGAAGTTACTGAGAGGAGAGAGAGAGGTGTTTGGAAAAATATGGGAGGAGAGAGAGAGTGAGAGAGACGTAGGAAGAGAGAAAAAAAGAAGTTTAGAGTATATAAGTGAAGAGAGAGAAAGGATTGAGTTTAGAATCAACATGTCTTTTCGCATTTGTTTAGGTTAAAAAATATGTTTAAAATGCTTAGAGGTTTAGAAGATATATTTTGAAATTTTAAGTTTATCAAGAAATGAAACTTAAAAATAGAGGATATGAAAATAATTTCATTTTTTTTAAATTGCATTATCTGTGAGCTTTAAAAAAAATAATATCTCAAGATTGAGTAAAAAACCTCAAAGTTTTAAGGATAAGATTTGAGTCTTAGAAAACTCAAAACTTAGAATTTCCTTTAAATGTAATCATTTAATAATTTATAGGTGGTTTCCAAAATTTTGCATAAAAAAATTGTCCCAAGTTAATCCTTTAAAAAAAGATAAGTAAAATAGTATGAACAAAAGAAAACAAAAAAAGTATGAAAAACAAAGATAAGTAAAATAGTATATATAAAAAAAAAGATAAATAAAATAGTAAATCAATAGGGATTTGGGCACACCTTTTGATGATGAAGAAGTTAGAGACCTCCTAATAAAGCTCGGCAATACAACCACCAAGCCCTCAAGCTATTCTCTAAAGTTAATCCTCTACCACAGGAGTAATGCACAGTATGCTGTGGCAGAAGAATGGTATATTTTAAACTAAACAAACAAAGGAAAGTAGGATGTCATGTCCACGCAACCAGAGGGAGACAAACATACTCATTTATACATCTTATCATCTCAGAAGGAACAAGAGGCAATTGAAGGTAGCGTAAGATCTCCACACTACCCAAAATAAACTTAACCTTGGTAATATTTTTTCTTCATTTTTATATGTATCTTCAGACATTTGTTGTCACAACCATTCTTGTTAGCAACACAACCTAACATTTGATTTCCACATTAGCCAAGTATCCAACATACCCCCCAGGGGGCTCTCTCTCTCTCTCTCTAATTTTTACGTCTCCCATCTAGTCTCTAGTAGGGCTGACAATGGACTGCCGGCCCGGCCCGGCCCGGTCATATTTATTCGCTTATTTATTTTTAGCTTGGTTCTATTGGGCCGAGGGCTGGGCTGGGCCACGGCCAAGGGTGGCCTACCAGTATTCAAAAAATCGGCCGAGTTGTTAAGTCTAATTACTCGAGCTCGAGTTGTCCAACTTGGGGATCTTAGAAAAATAACAAATAAGAAATATATTTATAACATTTTTATTCATTTATGTTTTCGATGATTTTGGTCGCGATTGAAAAGTATTTTGGCTATGAATATTTATTTTTATTTTCTTTTAATTTTTAAAAATTAAAAAAATACCCCCGACCACAAACTAATTTTTTAAAATCTATTTCTTTCCTGCTTTTTTATCCATAATTAATTGCATTTTAATAAAGTTTACTTTGAATATATTTTTCTTATTTTTTGGTATTTTTATAAATTTGTAATAGTTTCCAACGGCTAGAATACTCGATCCTACTCGGATTGAATTACTCATAATAGAGCGAGTACTCAAACAAGGCATGGGCCGAGCAGTCGGCCCGAGTCAACAATCGGAACATTGGTCTCTACAAACCCTTCTCTCTCTACCCACTCTCCCTTCCATTATTTTCCCACTAAATTTGTCCTCTCTCCCACTCTCTCTCCCCTATTCGACTTCATCGTCACATCTCCTATTCGACTTCATTTTCACATCTCATAAAAAGGGAGACAACATCAACCTAACATATGCTTTCCTATTTTCGCCCATGCCCAAAATCTTCACACCCTCTCTCTCTCTCTCTACCCCTTCTCTCTCTCTCTTCATTCATCTCTCGACCCCCTTCCTCTCTCTCTCTCACATCTCTTGAAAAGGAGAACAATTCCAACCCACCATAAGATTTCCTATTTTTCTATATTAACCGAGTGCAAAAAAACATTCCCCAACCCCTCTCTCTCTCTAGCTTCTCTCTCTAACCCCCTCTCTCTCATCTCTCTGTTTCTGTCTCTACCCCTCACAGCAGCCAAGGACCCAAATTCAAACCTGTCTCTCTCTCTAGCATCTCTCTCTCTCTCTTAGTGGGTGTGGGATTATTCACACATGGCTCTCTCTCTCTAGAATCTATCTAACCTCCTCTCTCTTATTTCTCTCTCTAGATTCTCTCTAACCCCCTTGTCTCTCTCTCTTATTGGGATTATTCACACATGGCGCTCTCTCTCTAGAATCTCTCTGTTTCTCTCTGGGAGTGGGTTTATTCCACCTGGCTCTCTCTAGCCCTCTCTCTCTTGTTGGGAGTGGGTTGCGGCGGGTAGGCGTGTCCGAAGGCAAAGAGGGCCTGGCATGAGCTCGAAATCCCCTGTTTTCGGTTCCAACCGCTGCCTCATTCCATCTGGTTGGCCACCCATGACCGTTCTCTTAGGAGCAAAAACGCCATCCCTTTTCTTTGTTTTGCTTTTTGTGTGAAAAAAAAGACAAAATTTTCAAAAAAAAGGGGGAAAAAAAAAAAAGCAGCAGCCTGCATCATCTGCCTCTGGCTCTGGTGGTGCAGGCTTCCCCTTTAATTCTCTCTCTGGAATCAAGACAAAGGTAAACTCACACACTCTTTTTGTCTCTAACCCAATTTCCCCATTTCCTCATTTGGGTGATTGTTTGCTTTCCTTTTAAATGAGTTCTCTCAATGTTGTTGTCCCCCTCTCTCTCTCTCTCTCTCTCTCTCTCTATCTCGTATCCTCATTGGGTCTTTATTTTTGGTTTAAATGATTTCTTTTGATATTGCTGGATTGCTTTGGTTTAAATTTTTGAAATTTTTATGTTGGGTTTTGTAAAGGTTATATTTCCCTTTCCTGAAGGTTGTGATTAGTTGATGGGCATTTTCAGGTCTACATGAATGTGTATTTCATGGGTCTCGCACCATTGAAACCTCCCCTCTATTTATTTTCTCTCTCTAGCGAGGCAATTGTGTTCTCTCTCCACCCCACTGGCCCCATTCCTCATTTGGGGCACCCCCATTTCTCATTTAATTTTTTTTTACTGATGATGATTGATGCCTGCCTCCACAATTTTAATGCTTCTTTATTTTTTATGGCGTAGGACCATGTATTATTGTATTCAATCTGTCTTTATTTGGGTCTCCCACCTTTTAAGCAGATAGCTTTGTATACGTCCCGTTATTCTCATCTGGTTTGGGTTTTACATAACAATTGACATCGTTGACCCCCTGGTTTTATCGACCCCAATTTAACGTTTTCATTGAGGATCACATTTCAATAGAGATTAAATATTCTTTTGTCTAGCTGGATTTCTCCTTATTGAGCTCGAAAATACCATTTTTCCCCTTATTTATTTTCTGTTTTTGGTGAATTAAGAAGTTTTCATGAATTCGTATACACTTGCGAAGAATTGGGTTTTGGAGAAATAATCGAAAATAACTTTAGGGGGGAAAATATGGGGTTTCTCCTCATCAAAATGAACTGCGTTATAAATAAACTATCCAGAGATGCATTGGTGTTGAAGAGTTTATCCATTGAATATTGGTTTTGAAGAATTTGCAGATCGGAGAGGCGAGATCGGAGGGGATGGTTTAGGTGAATTGGAGGCAGCATGATGCAGCACGCTTTCCTTTCAACAATGAGGAGCCTGAAACTGGTCGATGGATGCAAAGGGATTCAGGTTTATGCAGTCACTCCAAATGATAAGGTTCAGGAATCGAAATCGAATTTTCATCGCTGCAAGTCCCTTCACATCAACTCTAACCAGGGGGATTCTCTTCTCCCCTTTGGGTAAATTTCTCTATGTTGACCTTTGCCTTTACAAATTTTTCTTTTCCTTATGTCTTGTGGCTTCTCTATATCGGTTAGAATTGATGGGTTTCATTCATAGGAAATTCATCTTGATTGTACAAGGTCTATCTCATCTCATGTAAAGTTTCATCCTTATTAATACAATGGGTGGGTAGACACAAACCTCTCGCTTGAGTAGCAAAAAAGGAAAAAAGGAATAAAATAACAGAAAATTCCTGTTGATTGTGGGTTGTGATGCTTGTGAATGTTTGGATAATGTTTTTCCCCTCTTCTATCGTTTTAGGTTTTCATTCTTTGGAAGGTTTGCATTGTATATTTTTCTCTTAATTTATATTTGTTTTCTAATGATTGGGGAAATTGATACTATCCTCCAGGATCAGGCTCATTTCAAAATGGGCAATTGATATCATCTATGCATAAGCGACATAGTGTTTTACTCGCAGAAAATGGAATTTTCTTTAAGCAATTTGCCTTTTCCTGATTGCATAATTTGGGCTATCGATGAGAAGTTAAGCATTATAAGTGGTGGCTTTTATTCTCTGAAAAACAAGTCTTTTGCTTCTTTGTTTTTTTATTTTTTATTTGTGATTGGCATTGTTGAGATATCTGAGCGAAAGGTGATCAATTTTTTCAATTCATTATCTTTGTTACAATGTTTATAACAATTGAGGAGTTTCTATTATGATGATAGCATTATTATTGCAGCTTACCAGTTGCGGACCTCATTGAACCTGCTATCGAACCCCATTTGAAGTTTGTGGATTTTGTAGAAACTCTCGCCTCCATCCATCGAGAGCTTGAGAAGGCCCCTGACCATGAAAAGGCAAACCTCTATCTCGAGCAATCCTCTGTCTTTCGAGGCCTGAAAGAACCCAAACTTCTTCGTCGTAGCCTACGCTCTGCTCGTCAACATGCTCATGATGTGCACCACAAGGTGGTTCTTTCAGCTTGGCTAAGGTTTGAGAGGAGAGAAGATGAGCTCGAAGGCTCAAAGCCCATGAGTTGTAGTGGGAGGATGATGGAGTGTCCAAAAGCCTCTCTTTCTCATGGCTATGACCCGAATTCCATTTTCGACCCTTGCCCTTGTCGCCAACCCCCTGTGGATGTCAGACAAAGAGCATCAGAAGAGTGCTCAACCTCAGTGGCTGAAGGGGATATGGCTTTTTGCATTGGAGATGAGGAGGTTGTCTGTGTTCGCCAAAACATGGCTACCCTATCGACTCCCTTTCACACCATGCTCTATGGTGGCTTTTTGGAGTCGATAAGAGAGAAAATAAATTTCTCCGACAATGGCATTTCAGCTCGGAGCATGAGAGCTGTTGAGGAGTATAGTAGGAGGCGTAGCTTGGACAATTTCCCCCCTGATGTGGTCCTTGACCTTCTCTCTTTTGCTAATAAGTTTTGCTGTGAGGAAATGAAGATGGCTTGCGATAGGCATCTTGCTTCTTTAGTCTGCAACATTGATCACGCATTGCTCTTTGTGGAGTATGGCTTGGAGGAAACAGCTCATATTCTCGTAGCCTCTTGCTTGCAGGTCTTTCTAAGACAGCTACCAAACTCTCTTCATAATCCAGGGGTAACAAGGCTTTTGTGTAATCCAGAGGGAAGGAAAAGGTTAGCCAAGGTGGGGCATGCTTCTTTCTCTCTCTATTATCTCTTGAGTCAGGTGGCTATGGAGGAGGACCCAAAATCAAACACAACTGTGATGCTTTTAGAGAGGTTGGGGGAGTCTGCCACGAGCCGGTGGCAAAAAGAACTCGCTTTGCACCAACTGGGTTGTGTAATGTTAGAGAGAAAAGAATACAAGGATGCTCAAAGTTGGTTCCAAGCCTCTGTGGAGGAGGGGCACATCTACTCTGTAGCAGGTGTTGCAAGGGCCAAGTTCAAGAGGGGGCACAAATACTCTGCATATAAGCAAATGAACAGCCTGATATCCTCATATAAACCAGTTGGATGGATGTTTCAAGAGAGATCTCTATATGGCATCGGGAATGAGAAGATGATGGACTTGAATACAGCAACTGAGTTGGACCCAACTTTATCATATCCCTACAAATACAGAGCCGTCGATTTGATGAATGATAACAAGCTAGTTCAAGCAATTGGGGAGGTGAATAGGATTCTGGGGTTTAAAATTTCTCCAGATTGCCTTGAGCTTAGGGCCTGGTTCAATCTCGCTCTTGAGGATTATGATGGGGCCATGAGAGATATAAGAGCGCTTCTCACTCTAGACCCGACTTATATGATGTTTCATGGGCAGGTGCATGCTGTTCAGTTAGTCGAGCTTCTTAGGGATCGGGTACAACCATGGAACCAGGCTGAATGTTGGATGCAGCTCTATGATCGGTGGTCTTCGGTGGATGATATTGGTTCTTTGGCTGTTGTGCATCAGATGCTGGAGAATGACCCTGGGACTAGCCTACTTCGGTTTCGACAATCTCTTCTTCTCCTACGGTAACTTAAATCATTAACTTTTGTTTTCTGATTTTTACTCAAGCTATTCCCGTTATTAAGTAGAAAAATTGATGCTATGGCTATTTCATGTGGAACAATTGGTTTTTTTTTCTTTTCTTTCTTGTCATCACTTTTTTGAAACTCTTCAAACAACACCAAGCTTATGTCAATTTTACTTTCCATGACTTACTGAACTTGGGAATAGCATACCAGATGCCTATTTAGGAATCTCAATCCCAACATTAAAGACTAAGACAACAACCAAACTGATCATTTTCTTTATTTATAGGCAGTTAGCAACAGAACTATAGTTTTAATATAGTTGCATTGCTTGCTGGCTCTAAACAAAGAGATATCTATATTAAATAATATACATCATCCTAGATCCAATAGGTTGGGATCAGGATCCCAAAAGGACATGATCAAGATCTCCAAACAGTTGGGATCTTGATACCTAACATTTGGGGATCTTGATACCTAACATTTGGGGATCTTCACTCGTAACATATGCATTTGTACGGATGACACTCCCAGCTATAGAGATCTTCTAGCATTTCACTATCCCCCACTTCTGATCCCCGATTCTGCTCTTGGTCCTGAATCCAACAATGATGTGCTTTTCTTTATAGTCATGCATACATAAAGTGGGGTCTAGCGTACAAAAGGTGTACCAATTCGATCATTCAGGTGTTCTCTTTCTTGCATACATTGTCAACTTATTTGCTGGAGTATCGATTGGCTTCAGGCACCACTGTGGATACTAATGCTACAATTGTAGCGCCATTGTATGGGATTTTTGAGATTGGTAGTTTCTTTTTTCTATCTTGTAGTATTCATGAGAAAAATCATATTTATTTTGTTATTACTTTATTAGTAAAATGTTATAACTACTAAAGACATCCTCAGGTTAAATTGGTTTATTAAATTTTTTTAATAAACTCATAAATTGAGGGCTATGCATATCCTCAGACATATATGAAATGGAATAAAGATGGACTAAGCTACTTACAGATGTAACTACAATTGACATAACTACGGTCGAGCTATCAAACCCGTCCAACCAGGAAGAAGCATTCTTTACGGCACGCGTCCATATAAGAATGTCATATTCAAACGCAAAAGCCTATTTTTTTCTAAGGAATTAGGGATGCACTCTATCCTCCTTAGATCCAGCATGCTATCACTATTAGAAGGACGACGACTACATGAGAAACATTCTATGGGGCTCTCTTTTTCATGCTACTTTTCACTACCCCTATCTTGGGATTTTGAATTAGAGGGGGGGCTCATTCGATAGAGCACTAGAGCTATACTATGGGGGGATGTCAGACTGCTCAGGAGAGATTCCCGCTCCGGTAGCAGGCCATTGGATCAGCCGTTCAGTATGGGTAGTAGTTGCAATATCATTTGTGATGCAGTCCTCCCCGGAATTCATGTGGTAACCAGTCATTGAGAGGAACTATATCGTTGCTAGTTGGTGTTCCTGAACTATGGAAGTTTCATAGTTAGGAGGTCTTATGGCTTGCAAGTTGAGCGTGCAAAGTCGTGCCTTTCGGAGTGTAAAAGTAGGAAGCCCGAGCTAGAGCGATCCTTCTTTGCTTTAATATCACCTATAGTTTTAAAGAATTTGAGTTTTTAAAACTATGGTCATAAAATTTGTATAGTTTGAAATAAATATTAAAAAATAACATGCATTTGTCATTTTATTTTGTAGAAGATACCCTTTCTATTACATACTTCTTTATCATGCTTTGAATTTGAATAGGCCTTCATAGATGCCCTGTATAAATGCTTTGTGCAAATACTATTTCAACTTCAATTTTCGAGATCTATGTGAACTTGGATGAGAGTTAACTTGGATGAGAGTTAATTGTAATATTCTTCTTATCAAATTAGAAAATTGGAAGAGAGTTAAAGGATTCAAAACTTGCTATTAATTTTAACTTTAACTTGGAACATTGAAAGAAAATAATTGTAAGTATACTTGAATTCACCTTATAAACAACTGATATCCCCTCTAATATTCTTTCCTATATACGTTAAAAGCAAATATTCCATATCCATTTTTCTTTTCTTTTTTTATTTGTGGACCTCTATGCCTATTAGAGAGAGATTTTTTAGGAAACCATTCTATCTCTATACCTATCTAGATAGAAATTTTCTCTCACGTGGTTTTTACAAAATTGTAGCAATTGTTTTTTTTTTTTTTTAATTTTTTCTTTTTTTTGAGTTTCGCTGAAGAGATTAACGGTTTGAGGAAAATGATGTTTATTTGTCTCTAGGATGGCAAGGAGATGCAACCCTTCGTTTTCCTTTTATACATCCATAGTAGTTATCTCGATTACTTCATACAATGTCCACCCTTAACACCTATTTAAAGTCACTTGCCCTACATTATCTCTAGGCATAGGGTCCTTTTTTTTTTTTTACACACTTGTCTGTCCACCATTAACCTTAGCTTAATAATGTAATAGTAGATATCTTAGAGCCTAGTTTTTCTATGGGTTTGGTATAGACTATGCTTATTAAAATTAATACAGAGATGTGAAAGCCTACTTCTGAATTATGTTCAGCGAAAATGGTGAGGTTTTCTAGAGAATGGGAAATGTGGAGCTCTAATTTTGATTGGTATTCATTTTTAAGAGCACTTCTTTATTTATGAAACTGCTGAAAGCTTTTGTCTTCATGCCATGTAAAATATTTCCACCGTGAAGCAGGAATCTGTTTTGCTTTTCTGTGACCATGAACATTTGGTCTATAATGTAAAGAAAGTGATGTGTTTCCCATAGTAATGCCACAGAGTTTTAGTTTTTGAGTATATTCAAGAGGACTTATTCTCTTTGGATTGTATTTAAATTTTCCAATTTTTGTGTCATAACTTCTGAGCGACCTCTTAGTTATGGAAAACAAATCTTACTTGTACTTTTGATCGAGGTATATATCATTGGTGGGGAAGTAGAGTAGCACCTATGTAGTATGGAATATGGTACACAAAAGGGGTATCCACTGTGCATTTCCAATGGTGAATGGTGAATATTAGCGGCAGCGTTTTAAAAAACGCCGAGTCGAACCGGACTCGCTCGGTTCGACTCGGAATTCGCGAAAAGGGACCGGATCGGTTGAAAAATCGGAAATCGTCCGGTTCTAGAGAGAACCGGACGATTCCGCACAGTGACTCGCCGATTCACTGTACGGAATCGGCGAGTCCGTACGGTTTTTTTTTTTTTTTTTTTTGTAATCCTTGATAGATTTTTTTGTAATACTTGATCGATTTTTTTGTAATCCATGATCGAATTGTTTTTGTTTTTTGTAATCCATGATCGTAATTTTTTGGTTTTTTGTAACCCTATAATAGTAATTTTTTGTAATCCATGATCG